GCAGGTTCTTTGGAATAGTTTTCAATATCTCTTACTACATCATCAACACTGAAGCAATAAATCTTTGATTAACAAGACATCCTATGTTCTACTTAAGGATGTTTGATGATAGAAGTGCCAAGGCGATTTATCCATAAACGCCTAGAATAGTAAAACATAAAGAGTTTACACTATCATGTTTAATGTGCAATATGTGAACATATTTTGAGACTAACAGGTTTGTTCCCATCAAACAAATTATAAAAGATGAACTCACAAGTTCTTGTAGAACTAACTGAGTTCCTAGTAAAGAAATATGTCACTAAGAATAACAGTAAGGGCTAGCTTACATACGTTGAGGAACTTTCAGATGCTAATAAGTTCCAACTCATACAACAAAGTTCAATGAACTCAATACAAGAAAGCAAGTTCCAACGAAGTTCCAAAGATGAGATAATATTTGTTCCGACTAGAAAAATCTCAACAAAATATGGAACTACAGTGTCTTTCATGCATATGTAACCAAGGCCGAGCCTCACGATATTAAAGCATTTGAAGATGTAGCTTGGATGTGCAGCAGGAACTTAATAAGCTTAAAAGGAAGAAGGTGTATGTCATATCCTGAACCTATTCTAGAACACCTAAAAAGGGTTGGTGATTGAAAAAGGTGTTCTGGAAACAGCTTGTTAAGTAAGGCACGTGAATGGAACAAGGCCAGGTTGGTTCTTAAAGGAAACAACCAATACAAAGGTATGTATTATTTTTAAGGAACTTGTTGCTCGTGTAGCTAGACTTTGAATATTATTTGATCTTGTTGTTTAAATGGGATTAGAGTTGTACCACATGGATGCCGTGTATGTTTTTAGTATGAATATTTATATACATCTATGTGGAACATACTCTAGGATAGAATGCTATCCAAGTTCCTTCTTGAAATTTGAGCTTTAAAATTGTCGATTTTTGCTTTAATATGGATTGAGTTTTTAGTTGTGCTTGTTTACATTGATTATATTTCTGGTACAACTAATGAGCCATTGTGCATTGGTTTTTGATGATTCTATGATGAGAAAATATATTTATAAGCATTAACTGCTGACAATGGAACTTGATTTAGAAGTGGAAGTTCATATTAGATTTGAGATCATCAAACAACAGAACAACCACTTTAAGAACTCCAAGGTAAGCCATGATATCAACCAATGTTTTAAAAGTTATATTTTTACTGGTTTAAGACTACATAAGATATAAGTTCCTGTTCACGTGACGGCATTAGATGAATTGAATTGATATATTTTTGGTATGAATGCAATATGTGAATTTATGAATTGATTAACTTATGGTTCTGTCTTAACTTGTCATATTCTTGTATATTGCTTAATGGAATTGATAAAACATAACATGAGTATAAAGTATTTTTCCCTTAATTTATGTCAAGATTGGGTTCCTATGCATGTTAAACTTGAAGTAAAGAATATACACTTGTTGTTTATGTGTCACACTTAGTTCTTATGTTGTAAAAGACATACTCACTTGCCTAAGAGTATTAGAGGTCTCATTATAGAACTATGGGTGCTGTCAAACACGAAGTTCCTAAACGGACCCCTTCTTCTTCCTCCCCCTTTTATTTTTTTTCCCATACTCCTCTTTCACTCTCTCTCTCCTCTTTAAAAAAAAATCGAAAAAAAGGACCCCTTCTTCTTCTGCCCCCCCCCCCCCCCGATCATGATGCCATCATGGCCAGTATTCGTGGTCTTGAGTTGTCCCAGCAGGGCCTCTCCTCTCGTCTTCAGACCGTGGAGACCGACCTTCGCCTATGTATGTATCCTATTTATGACTTTTTTTGCAGGCAAGGTCACATTCCCAGGGATGGCCAACATCCTTCTTAGTATGTCCTTCCCGATGATGGGAACTCTGCTGGTGGAAATGGAGCAACTGATGATGATGTTAGCGATGATAAGAACCTTCCCTGAGGTTCTCGAGTAGTGCACTACCTACCCCTCGTTGCAATGAGGTCATTGCCGAGTTTAGCTTGGGGGAGGATGTATATAGATTCTGCTTTGGTATGTTCTCTTTTCCTTTGTCTTGCTAGATAGATTTAATTGCTTTGAGTATTTTAGTTTTTCGATTTTGTTTTTTTTTTTCGGAGAAGGGTGCTCGCGCCTGGTAGGGCTGAATTGCCCGGGCAGACCGGGCGGAGGGGGTTAGGAATTTATTTTTTTTCGGAGGAATGTGCGACTTGCGCCCGGTAGGGCAAGATTGCCCGGGCTGACCGGGCGGAGGGGATTCCGAAATTTCTCCTTCTTTTCTCTTGCTGCTTCTCGCGCCCGGTAGGGCAACTTTGCCCGGGCTAACCGGGCAACTTTACCCGGGCTAACCGGGCAATGAAGCTTTTATTCGTTATCGCCCCATTCCCTTAGCTCTTCACCTACATAACCATTTGTAACGATGAGTATGGCACTGTAATTCTCTTGACATTCTCTTAGACAGGAAAATTAAGGAAGAAAAAATTAAAATAAAATAAAAATAAAATAAAGGCGGGTTGCCTCCCGTAAGAGCTTGTTTATATGTTCATAAGCTCGACCACCTTTTTTCTCAACTTTCTTTTGCCGGATTAGAGAGTGTGATGTTTACTCTCTCATCGATTGGGTCACCAACTCGGTAGTGTTTTAATCTTTGGCCATTCACCTTAAAAGTGTCACCATCTTTGTTCCATAATTCAATAGTGCCATAGGGGTAGACTTTACAAATCTTGAATGGCCCCGACCACCTAGAACGAAGCTTACCAGAGAATAGCTTCAATCTTGAGTTGAATAAGAGGACTTGATCTCCTTCTTTGAATTCTCTTCTCACGAGACCCTTGTCATGCCACCTTTTTGTTCTTTCCTTGTAATACTTTGAACTCTCATAAGCTTCAAGGCGAAGCTCATCTAGCTCATTTAACTGTAACAATCTCTTTTCACCCGCTGCTTGAGCATCGAAATTTAAACTCTTGATGGCCCAAAATGCTCGGTGTTCTAGTTCGACGGGTAAGTGACATGCCTTTCCATACACCAATCTATATGGAGTGGTACCAATAGGCGTTTTGAATATCGTTCGGTATGCCCATAACACATCATCGATCTTAACAGACCAATCTTTTCTTGTTCTAGCGACTGTTTTCTCCAAAATAGACTTTATTTCTCGGTTGGATACCTCAACTTGACCGCTAGTTTGTGGGTGATAGCCAATTCCAACCCTGTGTTGCACTCCATACTTTTTCAGCATTGCTTCAAACCGATTCTCCAAGAAATGTGTTCCCCTGTCACTGATTAACACATGTGGTAAACCAAATCGAGGAAAAATAACTTTCTTAGAGAACTAACTTACCACACGAGCATCATTGGTCGGAGTTGCGATTGCTTCAACCCACTTTGAGACATAATCAACAGCTACTAGAATATATCGATTACCATAGGAGGAAGGGAATGGTCCCATGAAATCTATCCCCCACACATCAAACAACTCGACCTCGAGTATGTTATTGAGTGGTAATTCGTGCTTCCTTGAAATAGTCCCAGTCCGCTGACAACGGTCACTCTAATAAATCCCTTTGGAAAAAGATAAGTTATTTTTGAAAAATATTTTCAGCAAAATAAGTTTTAAATAAAATCTAATTTTATGGCAAGTATATCTTTTGTTAAAAGATATGGTAAATATATCTTTTGTAAAAAGACATGGTAAGTATATCTTTTATAAAAAGATATGGCAAGTACTCGTATATCTTTTATAAAAGATATGGTAAGTATATCTTTTGTTAAAAGATATATTAGTATAATTGGAAAATATAATATTTAGATAAAATCTGATTTTATGGTAAATATATCTTATTATTATTGATAGAATATATTCTTAACAAAAGATATATTTTTGGAAAATTTATTTTTGGAAAATATCTTTTATTTCTATCTTTTAATAAAACTTATCTTTTACGAAAAGGATGATTTGGGTGTACTATAAATATGCTCATATGTATTCATTCAAAGTTGAGGCTGATGAAGCTTAGTGGTCGTGCTTAATGGTTTCATCCTTCACCACGAAGCTAAGTCAAACCTCCAGGTCAAAGTTCTAATCAGGTTTGGTTTCAGTTCGTATAGTAAGTTCTAGATAGATCTAGAAGTGTCCAGCATATTAGTTTTATCTCTTTATTCATTGATATGTATTTAGAGATATTCTTTGAGATCTTGTAAACGAGAAAAAGGGTTTAGAGTGTTTTATGTATTGGGGTGTGAGAGTTCGTGAGGATTCTCGTTATAATTGTATTGTAAGAGTGCAATGTGTGAGCTTCTAGGGTGAAGCCGATTGAGCTTCTAGTGTGAAGCCGAGTGGGTAGTACTTTGGTAGTACGAGTGAATCTAAGTGTGGGACTTAGATTGGGTAGGATAGGGTCCTATCGACTAGCAAGTTTTCCGAGCAGGAACTTGTGAGTAAAGGTCTGAGTATAATAGGTTGTAATTTGGTGTTTACCCTATTATAGTAGATTGGTTTGGCTTGAAATCCCTTGGAGGGTCGAGGTTTTACTTCCAGTTGGGCCCTGGATGGTTTCCTCGTAAAATCCGCTTTGCATTGTCTAAGTTCCTAACAGTAATTAGTTTTATATTCTGCGAAAAGTAGGCACTAGGAACATACTACAATTCACCCCCCCTCTTGTAGTATATCATCCGAAATAACAGTACCCAACATCCATCAATTCAATTCCATGATGCCGTTTGGTTTAACTTGTTTATGTAATACAACATCGTCGAGTGGTACCAATTGGCTGTTGATTTGGCACTACACTTGGTAGGAGAACTCGTGTAGTCGTGTTCGTTCGATCACTCTCAACAATAAGAATTTTTTTTTTCTACGAAGTATAATATCAGTTAATAGCAAAAAAAAAAAAAAAAAAGATTTTAGAGGTTATAGCAAAAAAAATTAAAAAAAATTTATGAAGTATAATATAATTACAGAGTGAGGTTTTTCCAAAACCTCAATCCTGAACTCTCAAGAATTTAGATTTATTTTTTTAGCTATAACCTCCCATTAAATAACTTCCATCATTTTTTTTAATAACTTCCATCTTTCCTATTATTTTTTTTAGGCGTATATACACACTTTTCAGTGCGTTTCTGGTGCAGCCAGCCGTACGGTGCGGCCGGGTGTCACATTAGTAACCACTAGAGTAACCCCCTAAAGTGACCCCTCTAGTAACCCCACTTACGTAACCCATCTAGTAATCCTTCAAGTAACCCCTGACCGGACCTAGTAACTCCTGACCAAGTAACCCTGATCGGACCTAGTAACCCCTAATCCTACACCACCTCAAAGCCTTAAACTCCACCACACCACCACCACCACCTCCCGTACCCACTGCCCACGCCACCAGCTGCAGCACCAGATCCGATCCACCCAACCTAACCGGAACCCACACCCAAAACCCACCCTAACCACCAGCAACCACGCTGTTGCCACGAAATTCGAACCCAAAACCACCCTAACCACCACGCCACCATCAACCACGCCCAGCAACCCACACCTAGCCCTGATACGTATCCACCCTAACACTGACCAAACTCGAACCCACACCCAAAACTAACCCAACCCAGCCTAACCACCACGCGCAGCAACAAACCCAAATCCAACCAACCCTAACCACCACGCGCAACAACAAACCCAAATCCAACCCACCCTAACCACCACGCGCAACAACAAACCAAAATCCAACCAAAACACAAACCAAACCGGAAAAAAAAAAATCAAATCTAACAAATACCTTAATTATTAACAATGGCTTCAAATTTCACTTCAAATAGGCTAAAAAGGCCAAATTCGACCATGAAAACACTAGATCTAGAGTTTTTATGGCTGAATTTAGCCTTAAAAAACCTCTAAGTTGTTTTTCGACGATGGAGTACGAAGAGGTTCACGACGACCACGAGCTAAGTAGAAAGAAGTCAACGGCGATTAGAGTTGGAGAAGAGGTCGACGACGATCTGGGTTGGAGCATGAAGTCTTGCTTTAAGGATGAGAAAGTGGAGGAGAGGAGAGAAAAAAGAGAAAAAAATTTTAAAAAGTTTTTGTGGCTGGCCGTATGGTGCGTTGCCGTATATAAAACATTTTTTTTAGGAAACGTTAGTGTGTTATTATTAATCAAGGTTCAAAGCAACTTTCCCCTCAAAAAAAAATTCAAAGCAACTTTGTCCGAAAGAACATACGGGAAAACCTTAGAAGGACAAGGTTCAAACCGCATATAAACCTTTGTGAAAATGTGCTGTGGTTAATTTATTTACCTTTTCACCACCTTATTTACGGAATTACATTGACTCATTGAGTGGAATAGACAACTTATTTCATTTTGACACAATTGAGCATTTTCTCTCTTTCTCTCTCTCTTCAAATTCTCTTTCTCTCCTCAAATTCACAAAATCTCCAGTTAGTGATTGCAGTTGTTGTGACAATTTCAAGTGGATTTGCGATTTCAATTTCATGAAAGCACCAAAATTTGCAGGTACTTTCGAATATCACTGTGCATGTAATTTTATTGATGGTTTTCAATTTGCCTTAATTTGATTCGTTTGTTTTTCTAAAATTTGCTATTTGTGGGTATATATATGTTAATTCTATAGTCGTATTTGGTTATTTAGGATTCTTTCGATGATATGAATTTTGGTATCGAACAATACTGACGATTGATAAATTGTGTCTTTTTTTTTTTTTGAATTGATGAATTGTGTCTTGTTATTGCATCAATTTGATGTTTGTTATTGCTAGCAATCGTCAAATTTTCGCATCGAAATGAATAGTTGTTGTTTGCTATTGGAAAAGTTAATGCTTTTTTTTTTAGGTGATTTAATGGTTTACTCGTATCAAATCATCTTTTTTTTTGTTGAATAGCTGTGATGATAAACTCAATTGTTAATGATAAAAACCTGTTTCTCAATCGGGTTTTGAGGCTGAAGAATTTCTTATGTATAATTTGGTTTTAATTTTTAATTAGGTTTGGAGAGATATAAATTGAAATTTTGGCTGAGAAAGCACCCAATTTTAAAAGTTGTAGTCAAATGAATGCCGGGGAAACAAACTACATTCTTCTTCCAAATGATTTGTTAGGGGGTATCTTTTCAAGGCTGCCTGTAAAAGACTTGTTGCGATTAAGATGCGTCTGCAGGTCATGGTGTGCCCTCATTGACGATTTTAGCTTCATTTTGACACACCACCGTGCTCAGTATGCAATCCACAAAGCAGATGGCGATGTGCCACTCCTCATTTGGTATCATGATTTAGCATGTGGAGATCGGTGCTATCTTTTATCTAAACACCAAGGGGGTGACGTTCTTTTGAATTTGATATCAGATGTTGAACGTGATAGAAATTATGTTCTTACTGTTGATCCAAATGTAATAGTGAAAGCTCTTTGTAAAGGCACTGCAAATGGCATTATTTGCTTCGAAATTATATTGTTTCATAAAGAACGGAGTGGCTATGATCTCTATGAATACCGTCTTGGCTTATGGAATCCAGCCACAAGAGATTTTAAGATTGTTGCATATCCAAAAGCCCCAGATCAACGGTTCCCCCAAGGCGGTCATGTTGTTCGTGGCTTCATGTACGATGCTATGTCTAACGATTTCAAGATTTTGGCAACATCTTGTATTGTGTGTGACCCTGACTCATACATAAGTTTGGCTTATGATATTTACTCACTGAGCACCAACTCATGGAAGAGGCTTAGTAATCAGCCAATTTACTTGGGTGCTCGTGGCCCTGGCCTTGCTATTGTCTCACCTTCGACCATGGATACGTTTGTAAATGGTGTTTATTATTGGATTGCCTCCTTGTCTACTGGAGACGGAACCAAGGACTGGATCCTTTCATTTCATTTAAGTACCGAGACATTTAAGTTATCTGATGCACCACAAGGGGTTGTTCAGCCCAGTTTGCATTTATATAATGGGTCCAAATGGGAAATTGGTCTTTACAAAGAATTCCTTGCGCTATATGTTACCCAGAATCTCGAGCAAGTGGGTAGCATTGAAATCTGGGTGGTTACTGAATTTGACAATTTGGGAGCTCCAATAGCATGGCAGTGCTTGTTTGTAACTTCACCTATCCATGTACAATATGGTCCATATGCCGTTGGATCACGGCTGGATGGTGATCTCCTGGTCAAAATTGCTGATACGCTGTGGGTTTATGATCCCAGAACAAGCCAGTGTCGAGATTTGAGTGTAAAAGTTGGTTACTGCTTCAGTTATGTAGAGAGTCTATTCCCTCTGTGAAGGAGAGTGATCAGGAGTTAATAATGTATCATCTCATCATGTTCTGGATTATGTATGGATTTGCTTCAAATTGTGGTTTGGATGGTCTCGCATATTGTAAGTATTTCCTATTGTCTTTATTATCAGACATCCTATTTATTTAGTTTTATAGCTAAAACTTTTGCCTGATTAGTTCAAGTATGTGGCAATGTCAGTTAAAAAGACATCCTATTTGCTTTATAAGTGTCAAGTATGTATCAGTTTAAGACGAAACTAATTTGCTTTATAAGTTATTTTTGAAGAAAGTGTTTTAATGTTTTCATACTTAATTAATAATGTTATAGTGTTGTATTATTTTAAACTAGTCTTGTGGCCCGTGCAATGCACGGGTTATTCATATAAAATTGTATTGAGAGATAAGTGAGGAAATATCGGGTTATTCATATAAAATTGTATTGAGAGATAAGTGAGGAAATATCAGTAAGTCATTATAGGGTATAATATGTAATCGGAAACATGATTAAAGAAATTAAAATTTTAGAACTTTAATCGGGCTTAAAAAGAAGGTGGAAGGGCTAAAATTAAAGAGAATAGGAAAAGGTTGAATTAAAGGGGAGAGATGAAAATGAAGATGAAGTGTATATGAAAAATAAAGTACTATAAGTTTAATGAAAGAAAAAAAAAATGGTGTAATAAAAAATTAATAGTGTAAGATGATATGTGGCACTATGGTTAGAGAAGTGTAATAAAATGGATGGGACATGTGTCTTTCTTAGTTTCTTGGTTATAGTTTTTAAATACTAAGTATAGATATAGATTATGTGGAATAGAATTGGTCTTGAGCAACTGATGCATGAAATCTCATTTGCCACTGTCTATTAGGTCTAAGTGATCCATCTATTATGGCAGAGGCTAGAGTTCCTGTGGCAAGAGGGGATGATCATCAATTTATGAGGTAGTCTTTTTGTTTGTTGTGTTGGAAGCTTATTAGCTCAATTGGTCGAGCACTGTGATTTCACAAGATGTAGATTCTGAAAAGCATGCATTAGAGTACAAATCCTTGAGAAATCTACTTCAGGATTCTGAAAGTACTGTTGCAAGTTTGAGATCAGAAATAGAGGCCTTGAAGCACTCTAAGGAAATGATTGAGGAACAATTTGAAATTTACAAGATGGGAAATGAAGATCTGAATTTGAAGCTTTTGGCAGTCAATTCTAGAATGGATGAATCCCACCAAAAGATTGCATCCTTACTGGAAGAGATGAAGAATAAGGAGAATCATTGTGAAGAGTTGGAGGCAAAATGCCACAATTATTTGCAGGTCCAACTAAAGAGGTATACTTAACTGTCTTTGTCACATTTGCACTTGGCAGAACTCTGGTAGACTTTTGCAATCGTGTTGATTAATTTGAATTATCTTGAGCTTTTAAAACTGCTGTTTGAACTACTAATTTGTTGATATCAGGGTGCAAAAGGCGGATACCATGAAACATCTCGATCAAGGCAAAAAGCAACTTAGAAATGTAAGTTATATTCCTTTCATCTACATGTACATAAAAAAAGGAAATAGAAGGTGTTAGCAAAAATAAATGCCTGCATATCTATACTCCAATGGGAAGACAACATGTATAACTTTGTTCTTCACCTTGAAACTTGTAGACGAAGGCCCCTAAGTTCATACAGGGAAAAACATGTTTGAATATGTTTATAGAATAGTATATATGAATGGATCCATTATTCCTTGTTGAAATTTGAACTGAAATATGAAATGGTTTGTAGGAATGTGAAATATCAGGAGCTTCAGAGAAGCTAGCAGAGTGCCAAGAAGGAAGCAATGGCCTCATCACAAGATGCTGTGATTTCTGACAAATTCATCTCCACTCCAACTAGGAGTGCTCCTGGTGTTACCTCAACCCCGGAATCTGAGAAAAAGCTAGCTAGCCAAAGGTCCTCTCTGCTGGACCAAATGCAATATACTGATGAACCTGATCAACTTGAATCACCAAAAACCAAGGAAATTATATGTACCAACCATCATTCTGGTTCACAAAATACTGGTAACGTTGCTGCAAAGATAAACGATGACATTGCTTTGGGTCCTTTGGCTATTGTACCATACCAAAAACCACAGGTGGACCTTTTAAGAAGCTCTTGAGGAGGAAAAAGAAAGGCCTTAGTAAAAAGATGCAACTTCCATTTGAGGCCTGAGACACATGAAAGCAATAACTGATGCATGGAAATCTCATTTGGGCTGATTTCGGAGTTGAATCTAGTTGAGTTGAGTGATTCTTTGTTCTAGTCCCACAATGTTTATTTTATAAAAAAATCTTTTTAATGTTTTCATACTTTAATTAATGCTTATATGTATCCCTAAGAGCTATGTATAACATTTTCCTTAATGGGTAATGTTGTAGTATTGTATTATTTTAACTCATGTGGAATAGAATTGGTCCGAGCAACTGATGCATGGAAATCTCATTTGGGCTGATTTCGGAGTTGAGTCTAGTTGAGTTGAGTGATTTTATGTTCTACTCCCACGATATTTACTTTATAAAAAAAATCCTTTTTTTTATATATATATAAAAAATCAAGAAAGATTTATTTTCTAATAAAGTCAAAATGTGTCCATATATTTTAGGTTCAATTTTCAAATTTTAATCTCGGTTAAGTAATTGGGTATTAGGGCCTGTTCTCATTGACTGAAATTAGCTGAACTGAAATGAGCTAAACTGAAATGAAATGAAATGAATATTTTATAAGAGAAGGAAATTAGGAGCGGAACGGAACGGAACTGAGCTGAACTGAATTGAATTTCAACGTAAGAGAACATGCCCTTAGTCATATCAATTAAAATTATACACGTCATATACTTTACTAACCCATCAGTGTTCATGTGGATTCCACAGATAGAAGATTTACTTTAGCATGATAATGTAAGACCAATTTTTTTGGTGCAAATAATTTAAGACCAATTTCATTATAGGTGACTATTGAGTTCCACATCACAACAATTTGATCACAATTGGGTCAATTATAGGCAAGACTCGTTTGGGTAGAATTTACTTGGGTTGAAATATTCTCGGTTCTAGTACTAAAAATGTGGACCGCTTCCATGCAAGTTGTTTTATGCAATATGTAGCTATAGTTTTAATAATAGACAAAACTGCAAAACACATCTACTTGTTATTTGCGAGTATTGCAACATGTCTACAATTCAAATTTCCAAATTTAGTTATTAATATTGGGAACACATGCATCATTCTTGTCTAGTAGAACATTCACAAACTGTGCTGATTCATCTTCAGTAACCTTGAGTTTTAACTTAGTACAAGAATTTGATTCAGGATGCCTTACAGTAACTTCATAATCCCCAACAAGCAACACTACTTCTTCAGAAAACCCATGTCCATTGGTTGAAATCTTCAATGGTTTCGAGCTCCACAATTCCTCGATCAGCTTATCAATTACATCTCCGGTTGGTGTGGTCTTAAAGTCTTGATCAATGTCAATCAAACACATCTTGCACTCCTTGCTGAACGGCGAAGTGGGCCATATCACAATTCCTTTGACACCAGGGTGTGAGTATCCCTCCCTCAAAACTTCCTCTAGATACTCTGCCTGCTTATAACAGTTTTGGACATATAAATTAAACTGTCACATACTATACACTGATATGTGTAATACTGTTGCTTTACATATTAGAATATAAAGATTTCAGATTCACAAATTATGTGTATTCCTTAATTTTGAGATGATGCACTCTGCCACTCTTTCGCGCTATCAGTGAACATAAAGAATGCAAATGCATAGATCATTATATTTTGTCCTGATCCCATTAAGCACAAATTATAATTTTTAAGAAGTACTTGTATATGAATGTGTGTTTAATAGACTTGCAACAAGAGTCAATGATTGTACCTGGTTCGCGCCTTTATCAACAAAGACTTCAGTAAGCCAAATAGGGAATCCCATTGAAGCTAAGAAGTCTATTCCTGCTCTCATGTAAGCAAAGTTAGGCTGACCAGGAGCAAACCTCGATTCTAACCCTATTCCCATAGGCAACATCTTATTACCACTACTCCTTTCCTTGTAATATGAAACAACCCTTTTCAACTTTCTGGCATACTTTGCAGGCATTGACTCTTCATCTTCGCTATCCTCTATCGTGCTATAATCATTCATGAACAAAATCGGCTTTTGATCAAGCTCATAAGTTCTAGCATAGATCTCTGCTGAAGCATTTTTACCAAGTTTATTCTCATAGAACCTAAAATGCAAGTTCTCATTCATAACATCCCAATGAATCAATCTCCCTTTATACCTTAAAACAACCGATTTCAGCCTCTTTTCAACTAGTTTTTCCAACTTCTTTGAGCTGATATTGAGATTTAACCAAGTGGGTTGGTACTTTGGATCGTCCCAAAAGATGTTGTGACCTCGAACATCAATGTTGTTCTGCTCACAAAATTTTAGCATCGCATCAGGAATGGTATAGTTTTCTTTTCCTCGCGTCTTTTCTTCTGTGAAGTACCATTTCATTTCATTCCCAAAAGCAGTGACAGAGAATCTTGAGGCAATAAACCAATCTCGGTACTTAGTACTATTTAAGACATTCAGGTTCATTTCACATCCTATTGGAAAGCCTGCCTTTGTTTGCTTCAGAGTAATCTTTGCTCCTCTTACTGCTACCTTCTTTTCGTTTGTCACTTGAAATTTCACCTTACGCTTTCTCACCTACATGAACGATGATTTCAGTCTCAGCTCGTTCTATTTACCTGATTTTCACTCAACTAAAAACTGAAAATTAAGACTGTAAATATTCAATATAACTTCAAATATGTTTGCCTTTTTTTTTTTTTTTTTTTTTTTTTTTTTTTTTTTTTTTTTTTTTTTTTTTTTTTTTTTACCTTTGCAATGGTTGATTCTTGGTGCAATCTCCATTGCTTCTTAGTAAACGGTTGCAACGATACATTATCAACCCAAACTTCAACACATGTGTTATTAGTCTGCATATACAATTGTTAGAAACTTGCATAATACAGAGTTAAAAAGCATAAAAACAGGTCCATTTCTCAAAATTACACAGAAATTATTTCTCCTAGGAAAATCATTTTTGACAGCAGTACATTTACCTCAAAAGTTAAATCAACCGTGCCAGTAAAATTTGCAACGATGCCACCCTTAAGCATGCTCCAGCATCCTTGCTCGGCTATGACAGTACCGCCATGGAGATATTTACCACAAGTGCTTCTAAATTTAACAGCTACAATTTCACTGCCCTCGCTTATTTGTATCCATGCTGTTAAATTTCAGGCTGATCATAATTTTATCAAAAAATTTATGATCTAATAAGTCTTCTAATAAAGAGATGAATGAATTATATTGCATGAAACTAGTGGCATGTCATTTGTCAACTAACAAGTAAGATGTGAAATCTGTGATGGCTGGATTAATTTCGATCGATTAATTGTTTGATTTGTAGCTAATTAGTATTATATGATCTAATTTAGCTAGTGATGTCTTCGTGGTTATAATTTGAGACGGACATACAGTGAAGGTTTAAATGAAATTGGCGACTTAAGTGAATAAATGTTCATAGACTATTAGACTACCAACTGAGAGATTATGTAACACTTCTATGTATCAAAGATAGTAAAGCATAAGATTGAGGAAAAATGTAACAGGCCAAAAAAGAACAAACCACTAAAGGAAACAATTATAATCTTCAAAAGAATACAAAATAACAACCAACTAGCTAGCTAAGAGACTAAAAGTCCTTGCATTTTTGTCGATTCAATGCATGTACCATACTTGTTAAGAGACAAAGGGAGGAGGCAGGGAAATATGGAGGAGAAAGACAACGACAAAGCCGAGTATAGTAGGACTGTATAACATACTCTCAAAGAATTTTAATCAATGCTCCATAAACGAACATTTAAGCCTTTGGAATACAACAATTTACTGTACTACGAGTTAGGGCATGTTCTCATTGACTGAACTGAGCTGAACTAAAATGAATATTTTATAAGAGAAGTAAATTAGGAGTTGAACTGAATTGAACTGAACTTAGCCGAACTGAACTGAGCTGAATTGAACTTAACTGAACTGAGCTGAGCTGAGCTGAACTGAACTGAACTGAATTTCAACGTATGAGAACAGACCCTTAGTCTCACCCAATACTTTTGTGTCGGGCCAACAACAAATTATTCCTATTTAGTTATAATAACGAAGTTTCAACTTGCTTAATCAAATCTCTTTAATTATGAATTCCTAAAGAAAATGAAGTTAGTTCATGTTACCTGAAAATGCATAAAGTTTTCCACTCTCAATCAAAACCCTCTGAGAAAGGCCATCAGAAGGATGTGTCCTGTTAATAGCTGCTATAAATTTGTTCCCACTTTTTGTTACCCTTTCTTGGATCTTCCCTGGCCCGAAAACAGTCCATTCTTCAATACCATCATCGAATTCTGGATTTTGTATGATCCCTCCACCATATTGAACTTTCCAAGCTTCCTCCAAACACTTCAAAACAACATACAAAAATGCTTGTATTAGAACCTCTGCTCAACCTAGGATATTAATTAAAACTCGATTGTAAGAGCCGGATTTTCTGTGACTGTCTACATTCCAATGAGTTTAGTACCTCTGTAGTTGCTGAATAATCATACTTCAAAGCTTGTATGATAACCCCTGCATCAATTAAAAAGCCGAAAATTTAGTAAACGACAACAATACTATAATTGAAAATTACACAAGGCGAATCCTAGACATTACCATTATTGTAGGGGAAGAGGAGCAGAAAGAATGCATGCCATAACAAGAAAGTAATAATCTTCATTTCATTTTTAGGGAGAATCCAAAACAAATTAAGATGTTAAATTCAATCTAGCAATTGCATACTTCTAAAATTTAAGAGGATATGATTTTTGTATCTTATACAAAATTTAAATTATGGCTTACAGCAAGTGAAGTGATTTTTGAGTTAAATAACAAAAGACAGCACCAAAGTATGACCTACACAAGAAAATTTTATAAACTTTTAGCAAAAATAGTTAAATCATGTGACAAAAAAAGACATGACAGCTTAAATATGTAGTCATCTTACTATATCAAATTATATTAATTGCACAGAAAATGAAAATAATTAATATAGAAAGAAAGAAAAAACAAAACAATATCAGAACATGCATCTGGCTAAACAGGATCAGTGTACAAAATTTGTGATGGCCAGACTAATTAATTTCGATCAATTGCTTGATTTGTTGTTAATCAGTAATGTATGGGATATATATAATTTTTTTCAAATAATCTTACAAAAGGAATTGATAGTATACAACATTACAACTTACATACAAAATTATGTAACATTTGGATTATGGTTATAGAGTACATATATGATGCCGAAATGTGATTAGCTAATGATGTCTTGGTGTTTAAGAGTTAAGACGGAAAACTGAGATTTAGCGAAAATTGACTAAAGTATAAAGTTCATAAAATACCAATTGAGAGATTGTAATGTTCATAATAAACTATCAACTGAGAGATTATATAACACTTCTATATATCAAGAATGTAACAGGGCAAAAAGAGCAAACCATTAAAGGAAACAATTATAATTTTCAAAAGAATACAAATGAACAACCAACAAGCTGCTAAGCTAAGAGACTAAAAGTCCTTGCAATTTTGTCGAATCAATGCATACCATACTATTTTTACTTGTTAAGGGCCAAAGGGAGGAGGCAGGGAAATATAGAGGAGAAAGAAACCGACAAAGGCGATTATAATAGGACTGTAGAATCTACTCTCGAAGAATTGTTTATCAACGCTTCATACACGAACATTTAAGCCCTTGTAATACAACAATATAATGTAAGAGTTAAGTCTCACCCAATACTTTTGTGTCGATCGGATCAATAACACATACAGTATATAGTAATATACTAATATAGGATTCCTGATTAGTTATATATTCCAATGAGTTTAGTACCTCTGTAATTGCTGAATAATTATTCTTCAAAGCTTGTATGATAACCCCTGCATCAATTAAAAAGCAGAAAAATTTGCAAAAGACAATACAATTGACAAGCAATAAAATTCATCTATAATTTTAGATGGATTAAAACGTCTGTATTCAAACTCCTTGTCTCAAATCAATTCACTTGGAAATTCAACCATGAAAAACTTACTATTGATCATATTTTAGACAATAAGTACAAAATAATCGAAAATTACTTAAGGTTGATCTTCGACAGTACCATTGTTGTTGGAGAAGACGAGCAGCTAGAAAGATGCATGCATTGCATGCCATAATAACAAGTACTACTCTTTAAATTTATAACGTAGGTTCTAATTGCATATGTTAACGCTTTCGCAAGGAAGTCGGGTTAACTAACACATGGCTATACAAAATTGACATTAAACACATTATACAAAATTAGAAAAGAGAAGATTATTCTTTCAAAACATAAAGAGAAAAGAGAAGATAAATTCCAGCATTCAGAAAATGTTTATTATCAGATCAACTACTTTAACAACTACATTATTTATGAGTCTTATTACATCTTCTTACTCGTTAATCTTACCCTAGACTAATATAATTCTAACTAGGGAGTATACAAAATAATCATATTATTTGAATTATTTCCACAACCAAGATATTTGTTGCGGGCAGATACAGGGCAACGGATTAAATTACGTAGCGGCCAGTCAACACAGATGCGAATCTCCACAAGATACTTGGTGGTGGAAGATGTCATGCATCTAATTTGAAAAATTCTGTCATTATGAACACTATTGCTTATCCCCGTCAAATATCGTCTTAAAGGATATGCCATAGTGGGAGAAGGGTTAATACCTGTAACCAAAAGACATAATTAGAATACAAAAGACTTCTAATAATTTAAATAAATACAATTATGTTATTTTTAGTTTGTAAAATGCACTACCTGCTCTTACCAGACTTGATAGAAGTGTGGATGCACGCCTTCTTGTCAAGTCTATACTGTTTTGAAAACAAGTTACAAGTGGTAAACTTGAACAAGATCCATGTTTTCTCCACTCATATCTCCAAAAATTGGCGTTGCTTTGTTGAAAGCTTGGCCAATATATGGCCATGTCACTTGCAAGAAACTATATTAAAAGAGGTATAAATAATTAAAATTGTAACAATTTACGAGTATAAATAATGATTAAAATTGTAACAATTTGATGTATTAATAATACGAATATCATACTACCTGTAATGCACTTGCGTTATTAGGCCCTGAGGTGCATCTTAATTTGGATTGACTGGTGCTATCCACAGGCCATGCGCCGTGCAAAGAGAATCCCTGACCGGCTGTTGGGACTTTACTGCATGTTGTGGCTCTACATAGCCCCTTGGGCCATTGTAGCGCCAAGATTGCGAAATCCGGTGATGGGGGAGGAGGAGGAGGAGGAGGAGGGTTAGTAAGAGAGGGAGGTGGAGAAGCAACAGTAGTAAGTATCGTGATGAAGAAAATAAAAAACAATGTAGAAATTTTTTTTTTTTTTTTTTTTTGTTAAAATGTTTTTAGCAAGTAAAAGAAATTATGGTGAGTTACTAAACAAGTATAGCTTTTTGCTGATTATGAGATTACCTACTTATATCGTGGTTGCTGATTATGAGATTATCTACTTATATCGTGGCTACTCAATTTTTAAGAACAAGCTCCTTGCATGATTCAACAACAATTAATTTGCCTATCTTGCATGCATGATCCAACAACAATCAAAATCTTTATTTGCATGATTATGGAACAGTTCATCCCGTGCAATTTAACAATTAGTTGAATCATCCTATTTTGCTGATTTAGATACTAGCACATTCCAACTAATTCCCAAAAGATATAAATTTGTATTAAATTCGAACTAGTAACTAATCCCAGCATAGAAGTATTGAAAAAACTCATCACAAAAAATCTCAAATATCCTTCATTGTGAGACATGTAATTATCATTATAAATAAGAACCAAAATTGCAACAATAGTTAATTATTAACATTGACATAATAGAAGTAAGTTGATATATTAGGTAGCCAAATTATAAAGAAAAATCATTATTAATCATCCAAGACCATAAATATTGATAAATAGAATTATTATTTATTTGTTGAATAGCCAACTTCATGGAAAAAAGCATAACAATTCAAGAAGAGAAGACATACTTTTGTTGACACTTAACACTAACTTGATTAAGTATCGTACAATGCATGGTTATTCTAAATATTACGTAGTATATTGTAACTAATTGCAATACTAATTCAACTAAAAATCATATTTTTTTTGTTATACTTATATCAATGTCAAGGTTGTTGAAGCATTAAACTCTACTTTTTTTTTTTTTAGTATGGGACACTATAATGGTACACTATATTTTGAAGAACATATATACAAGGCAAATTTGATAAAAAAAAAAATAAATTAATTAATTAATTTTAAAAAAAAAAAACCTTTTAGATGCACCACCACTTTGCGAAAAAACCCTTTTAAAAGCTTTTTTTAAAAGAAAACCCGAACACATCTAATTTTTGTTGAAGATGACAACCTGGTACCTCTAATACACTTGATTAACCACTAATTACTTCGAATTACTCTCTAATTCTCACTTAACTATTTAATAATAAAAATTCTAAGTTAGTTTATAAATAAATTAAAAAAAAAAACGAAAACCACCATCTCCACCACCAGGCACCAGCCAGCCACCCACTCCCTTTCCCTTCCCCTAGCAGCACCCCCCCCACCGACTAAGCCACTAGAATCGCTGCCCCCATCCAAGCCAACCACGAAAACCACCCCAGCCATAACCTAACACCGGCTAGCCTACCATCGCCAGCCCACCACGAAAATACCCACACCCAGAATCAACTCGACCACGAATTCTCGAAATACAACATCGTGTTCCAAAAAAGGTTGAGAACAATAATTAGAGTTTGCACAATTGGAGGTCGATTACAACAATAATCGTGGCAAACTGGCCCCTCGGTCCGTTCAAGTGGTGAGTGAAGTGCTTTCTCGCGAAAAATGTCGGGGCAGGCAAGGATTCCGCAAGGGTCGTCCTCCTCTTCCCGTGGAAGGAGGAGAAAGAGATTCAAGGTGAAATTAAAGTCTTCAATTGATGAATTAGGGTTTTAATTGTGAGATAATTTAAGGAAATTGAGAGGGAGAAGTCATTGATAACCATGATTGAGCTAGGAGATAGAAAGATGAAATTAGGAATTTTTGGAGGAAATTGATGAAGAAGAAAGGAGGGGGTAAGGGTCTAAGGGATATGGGTTGCCTGGCCTAAGGGTGTGCAAAAATGGACCTGGATCGGAAAACTGACCGGGACCGGATTGGGGGATTCCGGGTCGGTCTTCGGTCCTCACAAATTGGGGATTAGGGTTCCCGGTCCGAAATGGACCGGAAAGTATATTTTTGTAATTTTTTGGTGAAAATTTTAAATTTTATGTTTAACTTTTCAAAAAAATTAGGTACAAAACTTGTAATTTATTAATTCTAGGTGTAAAATAGGAAAGCACGCAAACAAAACAAGGCGTTAAAAATGTATGTATATATTAAGATACAAAAATGCAAATAAAAAAATGTAACAGGTCCATTTTGGTCCAAAACCGGACCGGTTGATTATGGTCTAGTCCCGGTCTCCAAAATATGTCAATTTCGGGTTCCGGTCCGATCCGGTTTTGGACCGATGCACAGCCCTTGCCGGGCAACGAGAAAGGGGTTCAAGGCAGCGACTCAAATGGGGGAGGGGGCTGCTGTCAAGGGAGGGGGATGGGGTGGCTGGTTGGTGGCCGAGTGGGGATGGTGGTTTTTTTTTCTTTTAAATTTATAAATTAATTTAATTATTAAGTAGTAAAATGAGAATTAGAGGTTAATTAAAAGAAATAAGAGTGTAATTAAGTGAATTAGTAGGACTAGTCTGTTTTAAACAAAAAAAAAAAACTTTTAAAAGTTTTTTTTTTTTGCATGTTTTTTTTTTCTTCTTTTGCAAATTTGCCTACATATATAAATTGAGGAGGAGACCCCATTTATCCCATGGATAAACAAATTGGGTTTATCTCAAGAGACAAAAGTGAAATATTAATAAAAAATATCTACGAGTAGTAAAGTTTAAAAAGTAAGCTAATGGTGGGCCTTGTGCTGTTAGGTAACGTCGTTTAGCATTACCATCTACGAGTAGTAGTATACTAATATGTAGGGGTGTACAAAAATTGGCCCGGATCTGAAACCGGACCTGAACCGACCTGAACCGGACCGGACCTGACCCGGACCTGTTGATTCAGGTCCGGTCCCGGTTCTTAAAAATCCAGGTTCCCGGTCCCGGTCCGGACCCGGTCCAAACCCGGGGTTTTCAGGTCCGGACCTGAAACCCGGGAAAATCGTAATTAAAAAAAAAAAAAAAAAAAAAAAAAAAACAAGAAAATATCTGATTCTCTCAGCCTCCCTCAATCTCTTTCATATTTTTAAGTTCTAACCCTAACTCCCTAAGCCCAAACTGATTCTCTCAGCCTCCCTCAATCTCAACTTCTCAACGCGGCTGTCCGGCTGTCCCAACTCGCTCCGGCCACCGCCCACTGCCGACACCTCCCTCATTCTCTCAGGCGATGCACACCGATAATATCTGGTAAGTATTTGCTTATAATTTTGGTATTTTTAATTCGAAATAATAAATTAAGTGTGAGAATTTATATGTTTATTCTTGTTTCAAATTTTCAATTGCTTTTAATGATTGTTTGATGTTTGCATGTTGAATTTCTTATTTTTAGTTCATCTCTTTCGAATTTCTGTTTTTTTTTTTTTGGTTTTTTTGAGTTTAGGGTTCATAAGAATTAAGAAGTTTAGGGTTTAGGGTTCAAGTGCGAAATTTAGTTTGAAATTTTGTGTTTATTATGATTATTAAGATTAATTTAGTGCGAAAATTTGTGTGGTAGGGTGGGTTGGGGTGGGGTTATGGTGGGGTTACGGTGGTACGGTTCTGGTGTGGGGGGTTAAGGGTTAAGGGGTGGCAGTGGGGTGGGGTGGGGTGGGTTGGGGTGGTGAGCTGGGGTTTTTGGGATGGCTGGATGGAAAATTGTGAATGTTGATGGGGTTGTCGGGAGTGGAGATGGGGTGCTTGGTTTTGCCTATTGTTGGTCCTGTTGCAGCAAAAAACCCGACAGATTAAGATCTTGAAGGAAGGCCAAATACAGAGGAGTATGATAGAAGGGTAAAAGTAGTGAAATATAGGAGCTGGACAGATGAAAGAGAATACGAGGGTGGTAATGAGGGGGAAGTGCTGCCTTTGCCCATACTGCACTACCAATTCGATCCATAGAATAATGAGGTAGCAATTATCAAGCTTTTATAAGTACGTCTTGAAGGATAATACAAGGAAAAGGATCAATGCTGCAGTAAGCAAGGTAAGTTTGAAGAGGCTTTGTAAGGAGGGATAAGAGGAAAAGAAGAGGAAAACTTCTGGCCTAGACATATTGATGATAATTAAGAGGATCCATTTTAGTTCAAAATAATTAACTTCTTGATTTTTGACTGTTTTCGGGCATATTTTAGTGGTTTTTTTTTAGAAGAATGATGATTTTTTTTTTAGAGTGCGAGGCTGTTGAGTTTACGGTTTCCCTGCTATCCGCCTTTTAAATGCAAGTGCTGAAACATGTTATTACCTATGACCTTCAGCTGGTGTCATCCCTTTTAAAAGTTAAAAACATTATCAATTGGCATCGAAGAAATTCCTATGTGGATCCTATATGACGTAATATGCCACTAAGTGCACATTTTCAACCGAACTCAACTTTAGTTTTCTACCTAACTTTATTTTTCCAGTTTGTAGTAGTTTAGTTTAAACCTACAAGTTTTTTGTTTGTAGTTGTTTGTTCTTTAGTTTTGGTTTGAGATAAAATGTTTTCCTGGAAAATAATTTTCTCATCTTTTCCATTTTTCTTTGTTTGGTTTGTGAATGGTGGAAAACAATTTTTCCCAATGTTAAAATTTTGCATCATTAATTATAAGGTATGAATTCAAGGAGAATTGGACAAGAAACTCTATTTACATTTGAAAAACTTGTATGAAATACTTAAACCCTCTTCACTGTAGTTTGTTTATATCTTAATATGACTTTGTTTATACATATTTGTGTAATATTTTTGTATTGAAGATGGTTCAAGCGTTACTTTGCACACAAGATTGGCTTAGAGCTAAGGAAGTGCCAATTGTTGATGTGGAAGAAAATTTGAAAGAGTTAGAGGAAATAGAGAAAGGTAGTAATAATTTTATGTATTTGAAATTTTGTTACACCAAATTTATTATTTCATTGTTATCAATCATTAATATATTCTATATTGTATTTTATTTAGAGGTGCAACGTGGTGAATCTAACGATGTAGACGATGAAGTTGTTTTCGTGGACTCATTAGTGTGAATCACGCGATCAAAGGGAAAACAACTCGTTGGAGAATTTATGTATTCCTAGTACTTGAGAGTTGAGACTTAAGAGAATTTATGTAATTTTATGAGTTTTCGTGGACTTATTTGTATTTTCGGTGGACTCAGTGGTTGGTTTGCGGAGGAAAAGGAAGAATTCGATTAGGCAAACCTGAAGCGAGAGAGAGCTTCTCGGTAGAGGTAGTCAAGCTAAGAGCTAGAAAGTAGCAACCCGTAAAAGCTAGCCAAAAGGCATATGAGGGGGGGGTTGCTCGGCTCCGCTCGGACATTTGTATTTTTGGTGTTTGAGAATCGGGACTTTATAGACTTTATGTAGTTTTGTAATTGATAATTTTGGTTTGTATGTAATCATTAAATTATGCAACAGGTCTAAAAATCACAAAACAGGTCCATATGCAGGTCCAACAGGTTTTGTATTAAAAAAAAAAACGAAAAAGACACAAAACAGGTCCATTCAGGTCCAAACCCGGACCGGACCTGATTTTTCAGGTCTGGCCCGGAACCGGACCTGTTAATTCAGGTCCGGTCCCCGGTCCTCATAATTACCCAATTCAGGTCCCCGGTCCAAACAGGTCCGGTCCAGGTCCGGTCCGATTTTGGACCGGTGTACACCCCTACTAATATGAGTTGAAAGAGGAAGATTAAAAGACGAAGGCACATATTTCCTCTAAAATTGAGCATCTTTATCCTACTTCTGTATCTCTCTCTTATCCCTCTAAACAAGCACTCTCTAAAAGCATATTTATTCCTATCTTTTTTTTTTTTTTTTTTTTTTGATACTCCGTAGTATTTATTTTTGACACCTAGAACTTTCCTAAACCCCTCATACCAAACACCTGGAACTTAGTACCCCGTATTTGTTTTTGACACAACAATTCTCTCTCTTCCAATCCTCTAATAATAGTGGCGATTTCAAAGGGAGTTGCGATTGGAATTTCATTGTTGCAGGTACTGCGAATTTCGTTGTTTTGTTTTGTTTTGATTTCCTTTATTATGTAATTTTATTTGTTTTCAATTTTCACCAGTTTAAGATTTTCTGTTTGTGTCTTATTTGGTGGGTATGCAGTAGTTTATTGAATCCCAATAGCATTTTTTGTGAATGTTGATGAATGTCGTATGTTTGGGATTTCTATGAGATGTAATTTGTCCTCAATATAAATGATTGATTTATATCTTGTTGATGCATGTATTTGATGTTTGTAATTTCTGAGGAATTGTTGAAGTTTTTACATCTAATTGAATAATTGTTGTTTGCTATTGGAAAAATTCTGTTTTGTTTGGTGTTTCATGCATCTTTCATTATTGAATAGCTGTGATAACAAACTCAATTAAATATGACGAAGTTTGTTCATCAATCTGGTTTTGAGGCAAAAGTATATCTTATCACTTATCTACATAATATGATTGTAGAAGCCAATTTTAATATTAATTAGGTTTTAAGGGATGTAACGATTGAATTTTTGGCTGAAAAAAACTTGTAGTCAAATGAAGGTTGGGAAAACAAACTACGTCCTTCTCCCTGATGATTTGATCGGGGCATCTTTTCGAGGCTGTCAGTGAAAGACTTGTTACGAATAAGATGCGTGTGCAAGTCATGGCGTGCCCTCATTGACGACTATAGCTTCATATTGATGCAACACCATGCTCAATATGCTACTAGCAAAGCAGATGGCGATGTACCATTCCTCCTTTGGTTTCATATGATGTTAATGCATCCAGATCAATGCCATCTTTTTTCTAAACACGGAGGGGATGATGTTCTTTTGAATTTGATATCAGATGTAGAACGCGATAGAAGATTTGCTCTCACTGTTGATCCTAATGTAATAGTGAACACTATATGTAGAGGCAGCGGAAATGGCATTATTTGCTTTAACATTGAATTGTTTAATAATCAACTAGGGGACTTTGAATTCTATTGTGGGTTGTGGAATCCGGCCACAAGAGATTTTAAGATTGTTGCATTTCCAAAAGCCCCAGATCAATTGTTGCCTCGATGTTCTTGTGTTGTTGGCTTCATGTATGATGCTTTGTGTAACGATTTCAAGATTATGGCAAGAACTTGTATCGTGTCTGACTCTGACAGCCCATACATAAATTTGGCCTATGATATCTTCTCACTAAGCACCAACTCGTGGAAGAGGCTTAGTAATCAGCCAATTTACTCGGGTGCTCGTGGCCCTGGCCTTGCTATTGTCTCACCTTCGACCATGGATGCGTTTGTAAATGGTGTTTATTATTGGATTGCCGACTTGTCTAATGATGATGAAACCAAGGATTATATCCTTTCTTTTCAGTTAAGTACCGAGACGTTTAAGTTATCTGATCTACCACAAGGGATTGCTCAGCCCATGAACATGAATATAGATCAATTGTTCGGACGGGAGATTGGTCTGTACAAAGAATCCCTTGCAATATATGTTACCCAAAATCCCGAGCAACAAGTTGGTCACGTTGAAATCTGGGTAGTTACCGAATTTGACTAAGTGGGAGCTCCAATAGCATGGCAGTGCTTGTTTGTAACTGCACCAATTCAGGTAAGTTCTGGTCCATACGTCGTGGGATCACGGCTGGATGGTGATCTCCTGGTCAAAATTGATGACATGCTTTGGGTTTATAATCCCGCAACAAACAAGTTTTCGGAAAGGAACATAGCAGTTTCGCAGTGCTTTAGATATGTAGAGAGTCTATTTCCTCTAACAAGGAGAGTGATCAGGGGTTAATAGTGCTTCATCTTTTGCTGTGGACAATGGATTTGCTTCAAATTGTGGTTTGGAATTTTGGATGCTCCTTCTTACAAATCAAACATATTCTTGTATGTTGTATTAAATATTCTTTATGTTACGGTCTCTATATTATGTATATTGCAGTATGATTCTTTCTTTGGTTTACAGTTTACACTCTAATTAATAGAATTGGTCCAAGTCCAACTTGTATGTGGAAATGTGAGAAATGGAACTAAGAGGCTAAGCAGACTAATAAGAATTGAAAACTTAGTACTTGTGTCCTTATGTTCTAAAATAATGTTTATTAAATTTAGCCGATATGCTCAATTAGCCTGGGCTAAATTTGGTCTACTAACTCATATGTTCGATTTGTCAAGTCGAGTTTACAAGCCACAGACTCATGGCCTCATGGGGCAGGTTATATAGCGATAATAATGATCATGCCGAGTTGATAAATCTATGCTTATCGAATGTGGAATCAAGTTTACTTTGATTCACATTATTCCTGGCTCGAGCATGTTCTTAACAACTGTAGCTAATGAGGACTAATCAAGTCAATCTACCATATAGACCACCACAACTCGAGGGAGTAAAATACCATTGATCGGCACAATCCATGTAGCTTACCTTGATTTGCTTGAGCAACTTTAATTAAGTCAGTTATAATTTACTTTCAACATTCTAGCTAAATCCCTTGTGTGGTTATATTAGACTATACTTCTATATGATCCATTTTGACCCCACCCCTTTGATTTAACTAGAGCTCGATTTACAATTATAAGTGATTAAGTTTAAATTAATACACCCCAAAATTCTAATCATTTATGAGATGGATCTTACCCTTAATCAACTTTCTATTAATTCGACAATAATCCAAAATATATACATGTAATAAATGTAGACCATAATTTAAAGTACTGGTATAAATACCATTGTATATTATCTCACATGTTTTTGCTGGTGTGGTGTATACATAGTACAATACTTCTTAAGACTCATACAATGGACTCATGCAATACAACTATACAAGTGGTCAAGTGCATACTATGCTTAGATCTAAAGGTTGAAATAATTCCAACATGGCAGAACAACCTAAAAACCGAAGTGATTTACCCTTAAAATTGCAAGGACGCACTAATGTTTCATGAGAAAAATATAATATGACCTATCTTGACTACAAAGAAGATTTTATACAAACCTGATTAGATGTGTCAAAATCAAATCCGATTGACTGAAACTGATCTCACTAAAAAAGAGAGCTTGTTCTCATTTATAAAATGAGCAAAATTTAATGAGTAAATAATCTGGGTATATTTAACAAATTCTACACTAAAAAAAGCTCAATACAAATTTCGACTCGTATACACACAATAATTTAGGGTGATTCAACTTTGAAATAGAATTGACCCGACCCGACCTGATCTTACCGAACCCGACCGAAATAAACAAAGTAACTAAATCAGATCCGCACACTCAATTTGATACAAGAACAAACTCGTTTTGAGTGGGCCAAAACCGCTTAACAAAAATTGTGTAACGAAGTTTACAACTAACTTAAACTCCTAAAGAGACTCGGACTTCAACTCATAATTAAGCCCATAAATAAACAACTAAAAAAACCAACAAAAAGAAAATCAAAATTAGAAATTCTGAGCGTAAGAAAAATTTGGGTATCTAGGGTTTATCTTTCTCTCTCCTGTTCCTCTTTATCACTCCAGCAGGAAGAGATACAAACTCTTTCACTTTCATCAAATTCCTTTCTTTCTCTCTCTTCCTGTTCGGAGTTTTCACATTAATCATGGCGAATCGTAAGAATTTCTAGAATTTTCTGCAATTTTTTTCAATTTTTTTTTTGTATAATTTTTTGTTTTTTCGATTGAAGTTTGAATTTATTAATGGTGGTTTTCAGAAGCTCCAGCACCAATTCGATCGTTTCTTCAAGCTGCTGCGAAACCGGAAGAAGCTCCTCTTCCTCTTCGCGTTGTTCAGATTGAGGGCCTGGTCATTCTCTCTCCTCTTTTTTATTAATTTTTAGAAATTTCGTTTAATTTGATTTAGTTGTGAAAGCATTGTTTTATGCGGAATTTGATTAGGTTTTCCGAAGAATTTTGGTCCTTTTTTAATGGGATTGATATAATTAGATGTCTTAATTCAAAAATCTTATTGTTGGTTTAAAGTTTGTATTTTTATTGTTTATCCCTTGAATTCGAAGATTGCACATCTCTTTGATGCAATTACATGCCTCAGAAAACCAAAATTTGACTTTTCATCTCCATTATCGTGATCACTGGATTTGCGTGCGAGTGAAACATGTTAATATGTTGAATTATGTTGTGGAACTGGATTGAATCGGATGGAATTGATGGAGGTATAGGATGATTGTAAAGTGTGTAGGTGTTTATCGGTTTTGCAAAAATTATAGGGCATTGGGTTAATCGCTGAAGATAATTACAGCGTGGATATAATTGAATGGTTTTGGATTTGGGTAGGTGATTTTTGAGCTGAATTTGAAGATAAAAATGGTGTATGTAAGAAGAATAGAATGAAGTGGATGATTCAGTTCTTAACTGCAAGCTGTAATTTAGCAACTGACTAATGTGGGGAGGAGAGGAAGAAACAAAATCAATGAGTTGTTTATGGATGGAAATGGGAGGTATATTAGTGATGCAGTAATAATAATATTGATCAACGGGACACTTTTTTTTTTCTTTTTCCGTTTTGATAGAGGAACAGGCCTTTAGTGAATAATACAGAGATTTTGATTTAGGATTGTTTTTGTTTTGATAGAGGACGATGCCTTGAGTAAGTGAATAATACAGAGAATTTGATTTTGGATTGTTTTTGTTTTGATAGAGGATGAGGCCTTGCGTAAGTGAATAATGCAGAAATTGTGATTTTGCCATAAACAGTTGTATTTTTATTTTTAGTTGCTAAAGGTTAAAATTAGATTTTGCAAATTTGATGTTTTGGAGTACTTAAGACCTAAGGTTAAGTGTTGGTAGGAGATGCTGGTCTATAATAGGGATGAATAGCCACCAATCCAGTTCATTTCTTATAGATATGATATGGAACATCACTTGGATATGAAAAGAAGTGGGTTGAGTCATGCAATCCTAAAAGTTGAAGTGTTACTAGCAATTTACTTACAAGGTTGAGGGAGAAACTAAATTGATGAGTTGATTATTGATATAAATTCATTGGTGCAGTAAAATTGACAATGATGGTGAGTTCATAATTAATTTACGATTAGTGTCACTATGTAGGAGGTTGGGATCTTAAAGTATATGTGTTTATGAAGTTAAAAGTTGTTTATTTATTTTTTTTGATGGATGGCTAAGACTAAATTTTTCTGTATGAATCGGTTCAGACTACACGTAGTGGTGCCAAGGAATGATCATTGGGGCTGCTCAAATTTATATGAAAGATGTGGTGTGGAACACCCACTATGAATGAAAAGAAGGCTGAGTCAAGAATTTCTTCATTTTGCATTGAGTCATCTTTCTTTTTGTTTTTCACGTGGGGTATTTGTCAATCAATCTATAGTTGTTGTGTTAACATTGGGGAAGATTATTAATGCATTTTGCTAGTATATGGTTTTAATGTAGTTGCAAGTTCTAATTTTCTCTTAATCGAGAATGTGAGTCAATAGGTTGGTAGTTTGATGTTTGACTTTCATGCATATAATTTCTACATGTAAAATTATACTGTATTTTATAAGTAACAAACACGAGGTCACGAGTAGTGTGATATGTTAAAAGGGGGTTTCATTGAATGTAATCTCTCTTGTGTATATGGAGCTGTAAATTAGTAGGTTTCTAGAATTCTGACATTTTTTATTGACATGTAATTTGAGCAGGCAATACTGAAGATAATTAAACATTGCAAGGACTTTTCCCCAGCTTTAGTCACGGGGCAACTTCTTGGTTTAGATGTTGGCAGTGTACTTGAAGTTACTAACTGCTTTCCCTTCCCGGTATGCAAAGTGATTTTTCTCTTATTTTCGTTGTCTTACCCTTGTCCTATTTAGTGAGCTTTTTTTGGGGGGGTTATTGATGTCTATTGTCATGTAATCATGCTTAGATTAGAGAAGAGGATGAAGAGCTGGAGGCTGAGGGTGCAAATTATCAACTTGAAATGATGAGGTGTTTGAGAGAGGTTAATGTCGACAATAACACTGTTGGATGGTAAGCTCTGATTGATTGTGTTGGTTATGTTTCTGCCAAAGAATTTGTGTTCAACATATGAATTATGTTTGATGTTTAGTAATCACACATCAACTCCCTATCAAGTAGTTGTCCTTTATCCTCAATATTGTAATTGGTAGTTGCAAGAGCTAATTTATTCTATTAATCCTGTACCTTTGAGTTGTTGTTACACTTAGCACTTTTCCTTTTGACTGTATTAACTGTTCGTATTGAAGTGATGAACTTGATCATTTAAGTGTTGCAAGTCAACGCCATTTTCTTGGCATTTGCACCATCCTGTGTCCCATAGCTCTACTCAGTTGGGTTGTAGATAGCTGGGCTGGGGGTCTCTACTTGCTCTAATTAAACTACTACAGATACAAGGTTGTTTATGTATAGTTACCTTTGTCAGTTATATGTCGTAAAATAGCTTATAAACCGTCTTGGTGTATACACTATTTCTAGATGAGACTACTAAGGTAGCCTGAGCGAGGACTCTTAACCTGCCTTCATAATGTTTTCAAGCATGTGTCTTTTAGCAACCTCTAAACTAGTCTTTGTTCATTGGGGGATAAGGTTATTTATATTTCATCATGCTAACCCCAGCTTGTAAAAGAATTTTAATCTAATTGTTGCTGCTGCTGTGTTCTCTGCCTCATTGGGATAAATGTAACATTTCAGGTACCAGTCAACCTTGTTGGGGTCTTACCAGACTGTGGAACTGATTGAGACTTTCATGAATTACCAGGTAATTCTAATTTTACTTCTTTACTGCACATGCATACAGTATCCAGTGGTAGTCTATTCATAATGGGTGACATTTTGATTGATTTCAGTCACAATGGTGCTTTTGACTTGTACTATACGTATCCTAAAGTGGTACATTAATAAATCTTATATTTAATCTTTAGTGTTTCCATGGCTGCTTGTGCTGAAATAAACTCAAGCCTTATTCACCATTCTTCTTGGGGAAATTATCAATTGAAATGTTTTCTATATTTAGTTCCTCTATGTCGACAATCGACACTATTGTTTGATCTTACATTATTAGTTGTAGTAGTACTCTACCATGTTTTAATTAGTTTGACTCGCGCGACAACTAATTGTTTTAAAACTAAATTTTGCTTTCATTTGTTTGGAATTTTGTATTATAAAATGAAAATTTTGCATTTGACTTGTGCTGTCAACCATTATCAACTTGACTAGTGTTATTTTCTATTGATTTTATAATTGTATTAAGGATAATCTTGCTTTAGTACCTCTTAAGTTGGTGTTTGGTTCGCAGAATGGAATGGGTTTGGAATTAGGATTGAAACTAGGCATGTATGGGGTTGATACTTGATACCTTCTACCATGTGTTGGTTCAATTAAAAATTGAAAATAATCCCTTAATTTTGTACCTAGTGGACTGTATGGTATACGCCAAACCCATCTGCCCCTTGAATTTTTGAACCCCATACCTTCTGGGTTTGAGTAGGAGTTTGAAATTCATAATTTTGTAACCAAACACACACTATAGGTTTACCAATTTTAATTCCATATTTCTTACTAAAAAACCGCTTTTTAAACACTACATTAGACACATTGTCAACCTTTGTAACTTTTTATATTTTTTGAAAGGAAGGATACACATCAATTATATTTTCACATTTTTTTGATAATCCAATGTTCAAATTTTGTGAGATTTGCCATGTAATATTAATGCAAGTGCCAATTTTGTGGTTTTGATGAAGTTCAGCCAGCATTATAGACGTTCTTATTTCTTAAGTTATTCAATAAGGTTGACAACAATTCAAGTAGCGTTTTCTCTCAGCTGTAACCCATTTGTAATAACTGTATTATTGACCTTTGAGGTTCTAACAATAATTTATATTTTTACGTTAAAAGATTGCCCGTAGTCTTCAGTATGGTCACTGATTTAGTTTTAATTTTTAAAATTTTGTTTCTATTAATTAGCTTAATGGATGCTGGGTTATTGAGGTTCATCAGCTATTTGCTCATTGTATCATCTTGTTTACCCTTTGATTGTTGTTGTTGTTGTGTGTGTGTATGTATATATTATTTTTATAATTATTTATTTAGTTTTTTTTTTAAAATTTTTAAGTCTTCTGTAGGCTATTTTTCAGTTTTGATTTTTTTTTGACAGTTTTAATGTCATTGCAGGAAAATATAAGACGTTGCGTTTGCATTATATATGATCCATCAAAGTCAAATCAAGGTGTCCTGGCTCTGAAGGCGTTGAAGCTTTCAGATTCTTTTATGGAGCTATACCGCAGCAATAATTTTACTGGAGAGAAGTATGTCTTTTTTGCTTGTCCAGTTTCATTTTCATGAATAAAAAAAATCTCTTTACTCATATCTGGTCCTTTATGTTATAGGTTGAGGGAGAAGAACTTGACATGGGTGGATATATTTGAAGAAATTCCTGTAAGTAATGGTTCCTTTTCTTTCTTGAATTGTAGACAGTTGTCTACTTATTTGTATTCGCCAGATGAATCATAAAGAACAATATCCTGACTTTCTATTCTCTCTCTGCAAGCTTAAGAAGGAGTACATTTGAGAGAGATGTACCTTATATCTTCTTGGGAAATGATATTGCATTGTGTTCTTTATAGATATCTTTCTTCACATTCAAAGAATTTTACGTTTGGTAAAGCTATTTGCATGTAGGCCTAAGGAAATCACACTACTCATTTGCTTTATAAGGGGGAAAAAAGGAATTAAAGACTTTTCTGTACTTTGGTGCTTATCCGTGTGGCACTTTGAGTGTTGTTTGCTTAGGCTGATAGATTTATATACCAACTTTTTTCTTTGCAGATTAAAGTCTCAAACTCGCCTCTTATAAGTGCTGTCATGACAGAGCTGGAAAATGATTCACCAGTCACCCAGGTGTGGTTTCTTCTTGTGTTTTGCAGAATTTATTTTCCCCCAACACTTTTGTGTAGGTACTTATGTGGCTTGTACTTCTATTGTAGTGTGATTATGATCGCCTGCAATTAGCTACCACTCCATACATGGAGAGAAACTTGGAATTTTTGGTTGAGTGCATGGATGATTTGTCTATGGAACAGCAGAAGGTTAGATTTTCAGGCTTTATGGAACTTGTTGTCTGTTAGAGTTTCCTTTCTGTTTGACAATAGTCACTTTATTGTTTTTCTCTTTTGTTGCAGTTCCAATTCTATTATCGGAACCTCTCCCGGCAACAAGCTCAGCAGCAAGCATGGCTTCAGAAAAGAAGGTAATTTAAGTGATTTTTGAAATAGCTACCTTTAGCCAAAGCAAGAGCGTTATAACATTACACAGAGTAATATCCCCTTCAAAGCTAAGTTTGGGTAGAAATGAAGAGGCTGCCACTGAATCTTAAGATTTGGCAATAAAAGCGTTGTGGGTACGTAATTTGGGAGAACCGAACCAAACTGATATGATATATATACTAGGAATTTACTCTTGGGGATCTTAAGTAGGGGCTTTCCTATTACCTTGGAAATTCTGCTTAGTTTTTATCTTTTGATTACTATTATTGCTACTGCTAATATTTCTCTTTTACCATCATGTTGGATTTTTAATTTTTAAATTCTTTATTGTTGGCATTCCCAATATTGTCGCTGTTGTATTATTGAATAGATCATGGGATTAGTGGTTGATTGAAGACATGTGTGTTCTGACCTCCGTAGATCCTAGACCCTGCCAGCAGTAGAACTCATACCCATTGACTGAATCAGCTGTTAAATGAATTTAGTGTAATTATGATACCTTTTGATATTATTTTATTAAAGTTGTCTGAATTGAAATATCATGTTTGCAAATGGAAAGTGTTCTGCTGAGAATGGTCTAATGAGATATAAGTATAACCATGACACATTTATATCTTCTAATGTTAATTTTGTTCTCTCATTCCTGCAATTTGTTTTATGCAGGGCGGAGAACATGGCCCGTAAAGCTTCTGGAGAAGAGCCTTTACCTGAGGAAGATCCTTCAAATCCAATCTTTAAGCCAATTCCTGAGCCATCACGACTGGATAGTTTCCTCATAACAAATCAAATTGGCAATTACTGCAACCAAATCAATGGGTATGTTGAAACTACAGGATAGTTTAGAACTTTTTTTTTCGTTTGAATAAATAATGAACTTGGGGAGCCCTTGTGATTGTGAGAAGAGTGAGCATGTATCAGTTGCCTATTTTTCACAGCTGCAAGGCTTTCTACCTTCAGCATGATATATTTAGATGGTACTTGTGGAGTTTTACTGCCCTGAGTTTCTGCAATTTTTTCTTTCTTCTTTTTGGAGGGTGTGGGTCGGTGGGTAAGGAGTTTTTAATTGTTTTTGGTTATGTTGCAGGGTTGCTGGACAGAACTTCAGTAGATTGTATTTGACCAAGGCATTGCATGAGAATTAAAGTGCGGATGTGGTGAGCCTCTCCCACAGATCTCACAAATACATTATTGCTGCCTGAAAATGCTGTCCTTAATGAAATACTATCATCTGGGAGTTGGTGTCAATTTTCGAGGAATGGTGATTTGTAGACTAGTTCATTTTTGTCTGACCACATTCTTGGTGTTTTTTACAATTTAGTTATGTTTGTATTATACACTTAAGGTTGTAGGATCATTGCTTAGATCTGAATGTAACAAGGGGATGATTAGCTGCAATAGTGCTGCTTTGCCCTTTTCATGGGGTTTCTTTATTTCAATGTGTACTTTTTATAAGGAAGCTCGCAAAGGCTTAGTTTGTATACCATCGTTGAGTTAATTAATGCCGAAGAAAATGTGAATTCCTACAGTCTTGGATACTTGTGGAATGAGTTATGATTTGAAAATGGAAAGCCTTGAAATTTGCACTCTAGTTAATAACTTGGTATGGCTGCAGGCTAGATGAATTCAGCAAGGCTTGCCTCAATGGTTATATTTTATTAGTACTTGTGGGAATTCTGACGATTAGGTGGCTCGAAATCCTTAATAAAGGTGACCTACAATCTCACATGTCACAATTTTTATAGCGTTTTTGTTTTGTTTTGTTTTGTTATTGAAGGGTTCGGCGAAGTTGTATCTCTGCATATTGCTGTTGCATTGTTTGAATTATACCATCAATGTGACAACTCATTTTCGATTTTGGGACTTGGGAGTATTTTATTTTTGTTGAACAAGATTTGTGTCAAGGTTAGCAAGCCCTACTAGTCCGACCGTGTGTGGCTATCAGTTTCGGTTTTAATGTTAATCTAGGAGGTAGGGGCTGTTATATACTTATATACTGCCCAAAGCTATTGGATGACGATCTATAAGCAACTGGGTTGATGGCAATTACAGTTAAGATCTTGTCAACCTTTCAAAGCTAAAAAGGAATTGAACAAGACTTTATTTTAATACTCCTTTAAATTGAGTTTTACTAACCACGTTTTAAAAATAAAACTCTCATTAAAAATATATTTTATTGATCTAAGAATGTTTGTCTTCATTAAAAATAACACTCTCTACCCCTTTTTCTTTGCCCAAATTTCTTTTTGGGATGTTCTTTTGGGATTGTATCAATAAAAAAAGACGGAGGGAGTATATGATCGGATTAAATTATTATGCGGCTATGTCAAGAAAATGACATATTAATACACAACAGTATATTGCATACATGCATGGCCAAGGTGATCAAGTGATATACTGATATGTATCCTTAAGAATGGAGCAATTTTTATGAGTATCTTAGAAACCACATTGCTAAAAATCACTGTTTCACCAAAAGACTAACAAACACTTATCATATGCAAATGACATCAGGAAAGTTGTTACCAAATCCTTGTCCAAAACATTAAAATAAAAAACAAAAAAAAATTACAATTTCTTCACATCCTAATGATCCTACCTACTTAAAGTCAGTAACCTTCTTGTCTCTGAGGAACTGGGGTTTTGATCACTTGAAGAATCTGAACCACCTCAGACATCGAAGGCCTGATCGAAGGAACTTGAGAGGTACAAACCAGTGCCACCTTCAAAACAGGCAACACCTCTCCATCAGGGTACTCCCCCATGCTATGATCCACACAATCCAACACGTTCCCTTCCTCGAGTAACACTCTTACATGATCATTCAGTATCACCACATTTTCTTCCCCATATTCTATAGGCCTTCTTCCTGTAATAATCTCAAGCACCATGATTCCAAAGCTATATACATCACATTTTTCGTCAACTCTCAAGCTCTGGCACACTAATTCAGGGGCTGCATAACCTGGTGCACCCTGAAATCTATTGCCGGCTATACTATGATTGTCAAACCTGGTAAGCAGTCTAGCTAGTCCAAAGTCAGAAACTTTAGCATTGTAATTTTCGTCTAGTAAGATGTTGCTTGGTTTCAAGTTGTAATGTATGATTGAAGGGCTGCAAGAATGATGCAAATGAGCGAGCCCCTTTGCTGTTCCAAGTAAGATTCTGAACCTTGTATCCCAAGAGAGAGGAGCTAAGTTTAGCGGCCTTTCATGGAGCCTGAATTGAAGGCTGCCGTTGGTAGCATAGTCTGAAACCAAGAGCTGCAACTGAGGAGTCCAATAGTACCCCCTAAGAGATGCCACATTTAAGTGTCTGACCTTTCCTAGAGCTCTGACCTCCCTATCAAAGTCTTCCGGATACTGAAGTATGTTGGACTTGTAGAGCTTCTTTACTGCCACGGTCCTGCCTTCGGCTCCTATAGTAGCCTTGTAAACAGTGCCAAATACCCCTCCTCCGATCTCAGAGGCCTTGTTAATAAGAGACTCAGGGTCAGCAAACAGGTTTCCTGATGTCCTTGTATCAAAGAGGACTAGTCTCCCTACTGAGGGTGTTCCTGACCGAGATGAGCTTGAGAAAATGCTTTCCAACGCGTTGTCAATGAAAGCAATTCTCCTCCTTGCAGAAGCATTTAGTAGGGTTATGATAATTACCCCAATTACGATTATTGCAGCTGCTGCTATCGCAATGATGGCTGAGATACTGAGGAATTTGTGATGATCTAATCTTCGTGCTATCTCGTTCCCCTCATCGTTACCACGCATGCTGTTGGGATATGCATTGGGATCAAGGACTAATGGCTTTTGTACATTCAACTTGCAAGGACCTTTTAGTAAGGGTGAGCAAAGTCCCAAGTTTCCTTGTAATGCACTTGCATCCAAACTCGGAAAAACTCCCCCTGGAGGAAGCCTGCCAATGAGCTTGTTGTAGGAGACATTAACTGCTAGAAGATTTTGCATTGTACCTAGTTCTTTAGGCATCTCCCCACTTAGCTCGTTCGACTCCAGCCTTAGAAACTCAAGCCCCTTTAGCATTGACATAGAGCTCGGAATTGGACCACTTAAATTATTGTGAGACAAACTCCTGTAATTCATAATTTTATGCAATCATATCAGTAAACATCCTAAAAAAGAAAAGAAAGAAACATAAATACTCAAGTTTGGTACAATTTCCCCTGTTTGTTAATCTAGAATAGTTCTCAATTAATGCTAGACTATAAATATGAAAAATTTGCAAGCAAAAACTAATGTTCAAGGCATCAAAGCTATAAAAAAACAGAATTTACTGGATAAATGAGTACTTACAATAAATATAGTGATGAACAATTGCCAATTTCCTGTGGAATAGGGCCAGTCAAGGAATTGTCATCCAACTGAAGGATAGATAAGCTGCTTGTAGAATCACACAAATCACCAGGAATCATCCCATATAATGCACTACCTCTAATGTCTAAGACTGTTAAATTCTGAAGGTACCCAATTTCTGGGGGTATCCTAGAATGAAGGTTATTCCTAGACAAGTTTAAGTACCTTAAGCTAGAGAAAAGTCCCATTTCTGGTGGAATTTCCCCTGAAAGATCATTATTTGACAGATCCAACACAAGCAAGGACTCGAAAACCTGACTCGAGGCCGGTGGGATTGAGCCTGAGAACCTGTTTTCTGACAAGTCTATTTCTTCCAACCCCATTGTAAACAGCCTTTCTGGGATGCTCCCATTAAAGAGGTTACCCTTAAGTTGGAGGGTTTTTAGCCCACTGCATTGAACTATTGAAGTGGGTAAATTCCCAGTAATCTTGTTGTTTGACAAAATGAGAGATTTAAGTGATTTAAGATCACCCATTGACATTGGCAAAGCTCCTGTTAAACCATTATCTGAAACATCTAAATGTTGTAAATTGGTCAAATTTCCTAACCACTGAGGAAGTTCACCATTTAAGGTATTGTGTGCTAAATTTAGGAACACCAAAGATTTTAGTGTACCAAATGTTGTGGGTATATTACCAGCAAAGAAATTACTGCTAAGATCGAGTTTAAGCAAATGTGGGCATAGACTAATGTCGAATGGTATTAAACCCGAAAACTGATTACCTTGCAAGTGTAATTCCTTGAGATTATGCAAGGTATATACACCAGTTGGGATATTACCAGAGAGTTGATTATTTGACAGGTCTAATAATCTGAGCCTATTCAGAGCAAACATCCCACCATTTTGGATAAAAGGGTTACCAGAAAAATGATTATTTGAGAGGTTTAATCCATTTAAGACACTACATTTAGATAGTGTACTTGGTATTGGACCTTCAAAGGAGTTTCCTGACAAAGAAAGGTAGCTTAAAGATGGGAAATTTTGGAAAATGTTATCAGGCAATGGACCAGATAACATATTCTGAGAGAGATCAAGGTATCTAAGAGACGAACCGAGGCTCGAAAATGAACTAGGGAGTTGCCCTGTAAGTTTGTTGTGACTAAGATCAAGTGTTTCAAGGTTAGGAAGTTGGGCTAATTCTGGCCTTAATTCACCAGTTAGATTGTTGTTAGATACTGACAGTACCTTAAGTCCCTGCAGCTTCTGCAACCCTTTTCCTAGCCGGCCCGAAAGGTCTAGCCCTGTTAGGTAAACCCCAGAAACCCGGCCCGTGGCCGGGTTGCATTGAATGAACTTCCAAGAGCATGGAGATCCATCATCCTCAGTCCATGAGCTCAATGCTGGTGGGTTATGAAGTTCTGACTTGAACACTATTAGTCCCAAAATGTCGTCGTTGAGATCGATCGCCACGTCCTCGTAGGCAGCCCTAGAACATCTCATGGCACAACATGATAGTAGTAGAAGGCACACTATGAGCTGAAGAGTGCTCATTTGCAAAAAATTTCTTTGAGTAATTTTTTTTTGGTGCATAAAGTTATGTATACATAACTGTAACTAACTAAAATATCATATAATAATTAAACTTTGAGTTAGTCCACTAAAAAAAAAAGGTGAAATCCTTACCTAAAAAAGAATTGTGGGTGATGAAATTTTAGTGGGTTTTTTGCAGGGAAAGAAAGGCAGATGAATCAGAAGAAAATTGATTGAAATCTTTGGGAGAATGTTTTGAAAAAATTATGGTGCCAAAAAAAAAAGTTGGGTGTAATGTGTAAAGAGAAAGACAAGTCAAGTAATTGGTCCAAAAAATGCATGTGACACCATATCAGAAGATAAAATAATGTGTATACAGCATATAATGCAACAAAATGTTTACATCCTCTTGTCTAAGGCATCCTATCTGTGCAATTTTGTCTCTTTTTAGGGTTGATTTTATGGCTATATTTTTCCCATACTTTGGTGTTTGAAATTAGTATACAGTACACTTCATTAATGACAATGGGAATATTTTGGTACTTCACTGTTAGTAGCTTGTAAAGCTATGACAGTAGTAAGGCTGATGGGTTTGTTGGAATTTTGGCAGTAGATTGTTTACATAGGATTAATTGATAACATTCAGTTGATGTGAAGCCTCAACTATATATTTGTTTAAAAGCTTAAAACCCGGGAGCCGTATAGCAGAAAATAGTAAAACTAGCTAAT